ATTCTTCTGCCTCAGCCTCCTAAGTAGCTGTAATTACAGGCACGCACCACCACGCCCAGCTAATTTTTGTATTTTTAGTAGAGACGGGGTTTCACCGTGTTGGCCAAGATGATCTCGATCTCCTGACCTCATGATCCGCCTGCCTCGGCCTCCCAAAGTGCTGGGATTACAGGTGTGAGCCACGGTGCCCAGCCTTGTTTATTATTTTTTAAGAACTTCTACCTTAGCACCATTTTCCTCTTTGATCTTAATTCTCCTGGCCAGCTGCCTGCTCAGGATTTCTCTACCACATTCCATTACGCTAGTCCCTCATGGGCTTGCTTTCCCTTCTGCTATACAGCAAATGAATTCTCAAAGTGCTAAATATAGTTAATGGCTTAATGTGTCACTTTTTCCTTATACCACTGTTACATTTCATAGCGATTAATACAGAGACGAGCCCTCAGATGTCAGAATAACAAGCATGAAAGAATTTTTAAAAGAAATAGTAACATTTAGGGCTACGATTTTTTCTTGGAGGGTAGATTTGAGTTTATACTGCATAGTGTGAAAGCTAATATTCTCGCTTTTTATCTTAGTTTCTCTGTTTGCTTTGGACTTGCTCAGTCCAAATACCTGACCTCATCTGGCAAGTCCTGGATGATTCTTAGTCCAAGAGTGGAGTAATAATTTGGACAGCAGCAGAACCAAGAACGATGACCAAGTCTTCTAATGCTTATTTGGTGCTATCATAATGATTATCCATTTCTCTTTTAGTACAAAAGCAAGTATTCATGTAAAATAAAATGTATTTGGAGGTAATCACTCATTTTTCCACTTCCATTCTCTGTTTATTCCCCTCCCTAAATCTATTATCTTTTTCCTGAATTTTTTTTGGGCTTGTTTATAAAAACATAGTAAGACTGAAAAAATCTCAGAAAAAGTCTGGAAAGCTTGTGACCCCACCAACTTTCCATGATAACGCTTTAATATTATTTTACTCGATAAATATTTTTATTTAAAGTCCTGCTGAATATTTTTATATGATTAGAACATTGGAAATGACCATGGTTTCTTACCCGGAGGGATCCTCTCTCACAGTATTCTATCACCCCGAAGATCATGGTATCAAGTTTCACGGTGCCATAGAACTTGGTCAGGTTGTAATAGTCAATCTGAAGCAACTAGAAGAACATATTTGTTTACAAAGCAAATTAGGCAGAACAGGGTGCCAAAGTAAAAATTAATATGCCAATAAAATGTATTTTCTTTCAGATCTATGAGAAGATGTGTTGCTCTTAACAAATTGAATGTCAGTACCCATTGCTTATCACACATTATATTAATCTCATTCAACAACCTTTCCTTTGTCAGTAAGAGGCCTTGAGTACAAACTTTACTTTCAAATAGTATCAGGTCCACTTTCTAGAAAAGACTAGTAGATTTCCAGAATTTTTTACGCCATCGACCTCACTTTCCAATATCTCTTCGTAGAATTTTCAACAAGAAATATAGTCACCATTTCTTGGCCTGAGGGCTTCTCTGTCAGCCTCTTACTCCACAAACAACCTCAGTGATTAGAAGAAATGGAGTGAAGTTATTTCTCAAGAGTTTGAAGTAAGGGCTACATACCTTGTTCAATTCTATCTTCTGTTTTTCAGTGAAATTACCATCATTGTGCTTGAGATCTTTGAGAATCACTCGCTGCAAAAATCAATGAAATTTAGGAGACACTGTTGTGGTGTAACTTGTTACATGCATATTATAACAGTTTGTGTGTCTCACTAGACTGTAAACTTTTGAGAGCAGTGACAGTATTTGATTGATTTTTTTTTGTTTTTTTTTTTTTAAAGACAGAGCCTTGCTCTGTTGCCTAGGTTGGAGTGCAGTGGTGTAATCTCGGTTCACTTCAACCTCCGCCTCCCAGGTTCAAGCAATTCTCATGCCTCAGCCTCCCCAGTAGCTGGGACTACAGGCATGCACCACCATGCCCCCGGCTAATTTTTGTATTTTCAGGAGAAACGGGGTTTCGCCATATTGGCCAGGCTGGTCTCGAACTCCTGGCCTCAAATGATCCACCCGCCTCAGCCTCCCAAAGTCCTGGGATTACAGACATGAGCCATTGTGCCGGGCCTTGATTGATGTTTGTATCCCTGGTGCCTAGTACCTGGGATATGGTAAGTTCAGTCTTGAATGTTTCTTTAAGAATGACTAAATGGAAGGAAGGCAGGCAGAAGGGAGGGAGGGAAGAAGGAAGGATGGAAATAAGATGCAAAGCTCTCATATGAGATTGTTGTATTTCTCAGCAATGAGCCAAAATATAATACTAGGGTTGCCCTCGACTACTCTGAATATCTTTTATATTTCATTTTTCTGCCTACACTCCACCCTTCCCCAACATTCTATTTGTCTTCCATTTTCCCCAGGATTGTGAGTTTTGTAACCCTAGAAGCAGGGCCCTGGCCACCCCTGTGAAGCTCTAAGAACAGCCCTTGGGAACAGACTGGGCACTCCCATCATTTTGATACTGACATCAGGGGCCGGGGCAACGAGGGGTCAGAAGGCCCCGAGCATACCCCAGTGGAGAGTTCAGAGAAGTGGGAGACGTCACCTTTTTGTCGTATTTGCACTGTCGTAGTCTCTGGATTGTATCTCGTCTTTTGTCATCATCGATCTGGCACAAGAAAAGGCTAATTATTCCAGAAACTCCATATCTCTTCCCTCCTTTGAGTTTACTGTCCCAAAGACTTATTTCCTTAGCCAGATGACTCATTCATTCTGATGAACGGATAAAATCTGTACTCATACACATTTTGTACAGAAACTGACAAGAAATAGATGAATTATACTTCTAGGAATATTTAGATTTTAAGAAAACATACAGAGACACATGTTTTGGGCTTACTCCAAAAGAGAAAATATGAAATATGGGGTTTTGAGGCAGTGGGGGGGGTGCTTGAGGAATGACACCAAGGCTGGACTTGTGCAGAGGTGGCGCGTATGGGAGCCCATCGGGTGCTGTACAGAGACAGAGGTGCACACGCTCCTTCTGAGAGTCCCCTCTCCTCTTCCTAGTGTGATATTAAATAGACAGGAGACCACTGGCATGAGACTGTCTTTGTATTATGAGTTCCTATAAATGGCAGACCTAACTTAGTATATAGGCAACTGAAAACTGATCTGGGAGTCTATTTTTGTAACAAATGGCTCGATTTCAGCCAATCACAGGCAGCTAACTGAACAGACCATACCCAAATAAAGCAAATGCCTAGCTGTAACCAATCAAGTTATTTGTGGACTTTACTTCCTTGAAAGCTCACTGCCCATGCTGCGGGGTGGAGCTTTCTGAATCTCTTTTGGTTTTGAGTGCGACACAATTCATGAATCACTTTTTGCTCAAATAAATTCTATTTCGTCTGTCCAGAATTTTTCTTTTAACACTAGGTACTTCCAGTTTGTCATTTAGGTCAACAAATTCTCTCTTTGGAAATTCAGTAGTCTTAAGGTTGTTTATACCTGACTGTGAATTACTGTTAAATTGATTTCATCCTGACACTTAGCTGAGACAGATTGGTCTTTGTGAATAGAATTTTTCTGTTGGAGGTTCAGCAGCAGGAGGGTCACATTGGAGCATGTCATATTTCTGAAAGAAGGGAAGACCTGGTCCATGGATAGATATGAGGGGATCGGAGCCATTAGAGGGCAGCACGCAGGACTTGGGGAGGAGGGTCAAGAGCTGGTAGAGAGGTTCCAGAGACAAACTTAGACCAAATGCAATTATATTCCTGCTGATTTTAAGCAAGGAAGCATCTCAAATCACACTACACTATCAGTTTGGCCCTAGTCTGAAGGAGTCCACGAATTCCCATCTGTGGAGGTCTTGGGTCTCCATATTCTCATAATATGCTTTGGTATAAAAGCTGGGATAATTATATGGTATATGGAATGTGTTACAATCTCAGGCTTTGCAGTTAGACAGACTGGGTTTAAATTGTAGCTGTGTTCCTGGAATTTCCGCCCTGCTACTTCACAGTGCTCAGGAGAAGATGAAATGGGTTAATGCATGTGGTGCATTATAAGTGCTCAGTAAGTGTTAGCTATTATTACTTACAGTAATCTTACTCATTAGTTGCATG